AAAAGGGGATGTCAGTTTCACTGTTTTGTGTTCATCGCTTTAGTATGTTTTTCTTTTTCAAGATAGATTCAATCCAACTCTCTTGTTATAAAAATACATGTATTTATCCTTAAATCAAACACTAAAATGCATCATGTTATTAAGACTCGATCGTGAAGAAAAATAAATTTCAAAAATGAAATTGTAACGGTTTAAAAAAAAACATTAATGCAATTGTACTTCATGCATTATTATTTAATTTCATTGATAATCTGAATCTATTCATCACACTTGAACATTTGGTTTTATGATAAATGCATGTATCCTCTCTTTAAAGAGTCGATATCAAATCTCTTTCCCTCCCCTCCAAAAAAAAAATAAAAATGCCCATCGAAGTGCCAGGCCCTTATTAAGAAGGTTATCTTGCCTTTTAAATTTAAATAACTGAGCACTACTCTTGATAGCATGAAACGCACAAAGGAATGCATTTAGCCTTAATTTCTTTGGTTGCCATTTAACAATCCATTTAGAATTTAAGACATTGGCAAATATGTCACCTGATAAAGTAAATAAACCTTGGAAAAAGAAAAAACATGACAAATCTTCAGAGATCTTCGTACCCAAAAAAAAAAAAATAGAATTAATACTTTTTAAAAAACCTGAAACGTTATTAATACTTTTTATAATAATTAAATTCATTTTGCTGTAACTAGGATCCCAATGGAACTCCTTGCTTAGATAGTTTGGCATGTAAGAATTGAGAATTGAGATAGAAATAGAATGTCATATTTCTGTCATACAAATAAAAAAAAGATAGAATGTGACATGAAATTTACAATTCCATCCGGAGGACAACATTACACTTGTGCCCATTCAAAAATATAATAATAATAATAACAGTAAACATTAAAAGTTAAATTATTTGTTTAAGATTAACCTCCTGGGCCAGTTACCTATAAATGTACTTAATTTTAAGTTAAGATTTTTACTGAAAAACAAAGTATCAATTTTACATATTTTTGCAGCTAAATGACATTAAAAATTCCTCGTGTTAAAGTTCACAAGTGTTAAATGGTTTCTCAATGTACACAACTTCAACTTGGTCTTACGGTCACAATTCCCGGGGAGATATAGATGTCTTAATTGTTTCATCCTCCATATTACATTAGGTACATGAATAGGTCCACCAATGCTTCCATGTAGATCATAACTGTCAACTCTGAGATCCAAGGTTTGCAAGCACCTTAAGTTCCCAAGAGATTCTGGCAACTTTGATGTATAGAAACTTAAACATCTTAAACACAAGAATCTCAAGCTGATTAGATTACCTATATCACAGGGTAAATTGAATCCTGCATCATGAATTCTTCCTTCAAAGTATAAGACTCTGAGAAATTTGAAATTGCTGAACACATATGTCCAAGATCTCC